AATTCATTTTTAATTCAGAAAACGAAATTTGAAATAGTAGCCGATAAGCAGGAGATAGCCTCATTTCAAATTTATTTTTGAATTTTGTTTTGAGCCTATGCATATTCTCAAGATTAGCATTTACCGCATTGGCAGAAATATATCTGTGAATTTAGTTTTAGCGCTGATGTAGATTAAACACACTTCTTCCTACCTCCTCCAAGTCAGCTCTCAATCCGCTTTATGAATACCAAAAACTAGACTTAATTATGCATACATTTGCCTTACCTTTAATTAACCCATGTGTTCGAGGACGTTGCTAGCTCTAAAACATAGGAATTTTAATTTTTTAAGTTTTCGAAAATGATTTTTTGGCCACTTAGCAGAGTTTTGCGGTCTTCCAGCCAAGTGACTACCCTAAACAGCTAAAGGTGTGTTTTCTGAAAACATCGCCAAAATAATGTGCCTACATTTAAAGAAAAGTGAGTTCTCATATTTATTGATAACTTAGTTAAGGTTAAGTATAACATTGTATGTAGTCGTCTTTCAAATCCTTCTATGTGTGCATTTACAGTTTATATTGGGTCCCTGGCTGATTCGGCAAAATTCCAGGAGCCATTTCAAAAATAAAATCGACTTTGTGGTTCTTTATCATTTACCTTGACTTGTGGTCTCCAAATGTGCGAAAGGGTGCGCACAGCAAAGAAGACGGGCTTTTGGGGAACAATGTACTCAACTTCCCTATAACATCATGAAGTGAGATCTGATGTATACTCATCAGAAAAATATCGGCTTATGATCTAAATTGCAAGTGTCACGTTGAAATCAAACGCAACTGAGCTTTGGACTCTCCTCAACTTCGGTCCATCTAAACGAGAAACTCAAAGTTTAAAAATAGACAAAATTGCGGAGTCGGAATTGCCTGTTTTGATCTGTTCGGGCGGCCCTCCCTCGTTAAGTCAACTATTTCCTGCACAGGGTAAGTAAAGGTATTTTGTTATGAAAGTAGTTTGGTTCTCACAAACGCCACTATAGCTGAAAAGTACAGCTTTATTCTACCCCGTGCAAGGCAAGCACATCTAACAGAAACGTTGTGCCTTAATTTAACACATCTGTATTACGCAAAGAGTGTACCTGACGGACTGTGGTAACTATGAAACAGCTATTGTAAAGTTGTGAGCAGACCATTAGTTGATAAGTCATTTCGATTGATTCATTGACCAAAAGCCAAATTACAATAGAAGTTTTTTAAAATCAAAAAACATTGTTGGAAGTTCAAAACCGCGAGCATAGTGGCTGATCTACAATATTTCTTTTTAATATGCTTGATGACTATAGTGCACTATTCAAGTCATCAGGGAAGTACGTAGATTTTAAGCAATCAAGCATGTAATCAGAGTTCTTAGTACACATTAATTAATAGGAAAATTCAGAAGTTATTTATTTTTATTCATAAGCGGGTGTGGTACAACTCTTTTTATGGCTACAATTATTATTTCGAATACTACACTCATTTCAAAATGTGTTTATCATAGTTTGCCGTAACAAGGTAGATCGACTCTGCATACTTGCAAGGCTATCGAAAACTTCAATTTTAGAAATCGGTAGAATTGTGGTTGGCTTACTTGAAAAGGCACTAAGCATTTACGTGTTTGGGTCACCAAATGGTTCTGTGCGTACAACGCAATTCATAAATAAATAAATAAATTTTGCAGTTACATATTAGCATTGCATCCCTATGATTACTCATGAAGACCAGTAGGATGTATGCGGTTCACAAAATCAGGGCTGACATCGACGCGATTTTTGACTTATCCAGTCTCGTCTGTTAATTAATAGACACATGTGTGGAGATAGAAAGGGAGATTGTTCCTGGTGATCGAGGTCTGCATTAACCTGAGCAGTTGATCATTGAGGATCGTGTTTGTGGACCCATTCTGATATCCGGCCATTTCGTATATCTGATTCGTCGTATTGGAAAAGTGCACAATCCACTTCTACAAAAAGGAACCGAGATTGATCTGATTGAGCTGCAAGAGTAAACTTTTCAACTCATTGTTCTCTTCTTTTTCCGATGACGACTTCAAGGGCAAACTCACTCAGTATAATTACTGTCGGAGATCCTGTTGATCAAGTGCCAGTCATAGTCCTTTAGCCGGATCGACATTTGCAAGACAAAAATATTCCACTAATTGGCACATCGTTCAGACATTTCCTCCCCTTGCTTTACAGCTACATTTAGCTCTTCGCGAATTAGCAAGGAAAGCTGCTACAATATTTTATTTTCAAGAATATGTTTACTTTTGTTGTTCGCGTTTCTGATATTAATTAAAATCCTCGTGTTCATTCATTGCGACGGCTTCCATATGACCAAATTTGATTAGTTCTGACGAAGGCCGCTATTGTAGAACACCAGGATAACTTATTTGTCATTCTCATGTTGGCAGTCAGTAGTGATATTCTAGTGCCTAGAACACAACAGCATAGACTTCATATAGAGTCAAATGACCTTTTACCAAATTATCAATGCATGGAGTAGTGTTTCGTTTTGCGAACATCATTCAGGCACCAAGAAGGCCGATACAAATGCCTTTGTTGTTATTAAATAGGTAATACAGAGGCAATGGTTACAGACATAACGAAAGTATTTACCCTCAGATAATGTAGCAAGCAGTTCAGTACATAAGCCATCAAGCGCTACAGACGACCAGACATTCTGAGAGACTCATGGTAGCTTGGCCAACCTGAACAGCGGTTTCCACCGTTGCCCCAGGCTGAATGTTTATGTATTTTTGTTCTTCTCCCCCCCTCCCACGCCCATATAGTTTCACCCGCAGGAGACAGGCAGGAATGCTGAACGCAGGTAAAGTTGTAATACTTTCGCTTGCCACCGGGCTTCTATTTGACATGAACAAGGACAAGTTTTGGAAGATTGGATAGCGCTCTTATGACGACTCAAACTCTCAGTAGGTGAGCTAACTCATTAAATATGAACCGAAATTTCGAAGTGGGTGCTCGTTTCGCAAAGAATAATTAAGTAGGATTTTAAATTTAATCACCATACAGTATAGTTCTATAATGATCCAGTTACCTCAGAGTGTTGGATTTTGAACGAACTGATTTCCGACTTCATGCAAGAACTATACGCTGCAAAAAATGACTTCGTGAGTAGCATGCAACTTTCTCATTGATTGTCGATGCCCTAGAAAACACAGATTTTATGGAAACCATGCATAAAAATATTCATTCTTTTACTCATTCAGTAGAAATTTACGTCGTCTTTCAGTTTTTCGCACAAAACAAGGGTATAATTTGGTTTCAAAAAGTTTCTAATTATGAGATAATTTAATAATGCAAAATGGCCGTTCATAAAACGTTATGAATCGGCATTTACGAATGTGGCTTGTAAAGTTAACAACATTGCTGAAATCCACTGCTTAATTTTAAAAACTCCATATGATCTCCTCCTAATACCATGGAGAAATGCATGGTTTTCCGTACATGGAAAATATACGGCTTGTAGGTTTTAAAACCCTGAATGCAAGTGCGACAGCAAGTCGGTTTCAAAAGTATCCAGGAATAGAAAAGTTTTTTAAAACTATATTGTACTCTTTTTTCGATTATAAAATTGGGAGAAGACGTAATTTTCTACCAAATGGACAAGAGAATGAATATGTTTATGCATGTTTTCTACGAAATTTAATTGCATTTTCAGGGGCATCGAAAATCATTGAGAAAATTGTATGCTTCTTATGTAGTCATTTTTTGCAAAGTCTGGTTCTTGCATGCAGTCAAATATACGTTCATTCGAAAGGCGACACCCGTAGATAACTGGAATTATGCTGCATGAGGATTAGTTTTGCATCCCTTCTTAATTACTCTTTTCGAAACGAGAACGCATTTCGAAATTTCGGTTGACATTTTATGTGTTTGCCAACGTACTGTAAAAAGAACCATTGTAAGTTGGCTTTCAGTTTCAAGAAGAACGGACTCCTATCATCAGCTGGCAGATTTATCACACTACAATCCTATCCCTTAGTGGTTTTGCTGAGTATCTGTCATCAGTTGTTCGCGTTTGCCCGCCATCGAAAGATGTGCTAGGCCACAGTATCGACGTAAGCCGGAAGCAGGCAGGAGAGTAGACAACTGCCCGCGAAGGGTCTGCGAAAACCAGCATAATAGGTTATCCTGAAGAATAATATGCACTCTAACGGTAGAGCTACTGAATTGTCAGTCAAATTGACTGCTAGCGAGAACCTCCCTGTAAAAGTGCAACGATGATGGCCAGCAGGCTATGTGAAACTAATTCGACCGAACTGCGACGAGTAATCCCTCGGAATTTGCAGTATTTAAAGCCCTCTAGCTGCATTTCGTCCAAACGCAGCAACCATTGTTATCGGTATTTCGAACTGTCCAGTTACACGTAGACATGGTTCTCTGTTTGAGAAGTTTGCATTCATTGACCGGTCGTGACTAACACCCACCTTTAGCGGCATGGAACAGAAAGAGGAGCACATACGAAGTGGATACTCCCTGGGGGAGTGCGTTTGGTGGAGTTCTGATGTCAGTGCAGTGAACGTCCTGCAAAAGTTCACAGAAAAAAGGAGTTATCGAATGCTTGCTCCTTACTTACTCTGAAAGCATGCTGAATAACATGAGATTGCAGCCACTCTGGACAAGCGTGCCCTGCGCATTCAATGGTCAGTTGCATGAGTTCGTTCCCAACTCGGTTGGCGCTCAGAGATTTTACACATTTTGCCTACTGCCTAGAATTCGTTCGCGATCTTAAATGATGAACTTGGATGGCAACTAAAGAACGAAATATTCTGCCTAATTGAATAAGAAGACACGATCGCCGGAACAAGAGCTTTATTAGCCTGACGTTTCGGATTCCTGCTCGAATCCATCATCAGAGGCATAAGCAGATAAGGGTGGTTCATGCACATGCGGCTGCAGTATTTATAGGATGCAGTAGCCATTCCACCGCATACCTATGAACATTCACGGCTCCCTCCTCTTCATCAGGAATCGTTGCACGTGGTGTGATGGCCGATATTCGCGTCGTTAATTGCTGCAATTTCATCACGTGCGTTGGATGTTGGTGTGATGATTGCTCGACCATCTGACGCACCGACCCGGGTGTTGGGAAGAGTGTTCACCAGTGCGCTCCCCACGTGGCCAATTTCTCCGCCTAGACGAAGTCTCAGCACGCTGTATTGAATGGGAAGATCATTGCACTTGTTAATAGACTGGAGGCCAGTGAACCATGACTCAAGCAGCTCCCGGCTTACGCGGTTGTCACCTCTTGCGAGAATTTCGGCCTCGTCAAATTTGAATGCGTTGCCGGAACCCGTCGAATGAGCCGCAACTTGAGAGCTGGCGTCATTTCTCCGCACTACTGCAGCGTGTTCGGCCATTCGCGCTCGGAGCTGTCTTCCGGTTTCTCCAATGTAGTTGCTTTGTCCGCAACTGCACCAGATCCGATAAACGACTGCAGACGTTTCTTGCCGTGGCAGTGGGTCTTTTGGTTTCATCAATTGACGCCTAATGGTTGCCTCTGGCCTGTGTGTAACTCCAACCCCAAGTGGTGCGAGAAGGCGGCCAACAGCTACCGAAACTTTCTTGACATATGGAAGCGCTCGCCAAACTTTGGTGTCCGTACGGTTAGGCCTTTCGTCCATTTTGCGTATGCACCGGTTGACAAAGTTGCGCGGGCAGCCATTGGCTTTGAATACCCGTCGGAGATATTGTAGTCCACCAATCTTGTCTTCCGGCTCATTGCATTGCGTTTCGACACGCCGATAGAGCGTCCTTACACAACTGCGTTTGTGACTGATTGGATGGTTGCTGTTGAAGTTCAGTATTTGCATCGTATTTGTCGCTTTCCTGAACACTTTGGTCTTTAGTCCACCACAATCCTTGCGGCATACGAGGACATCCAGGAAGGCCAGCTGGTCGTTCTCTTCCTCCTTCATCGTAAATTGTATGTCCGGAAAGACCGCATGCAGACGTTCCTTGAATGTCAGCAGTTGATCCCGATCGATAACGACGAAGGTATCATCCACATACCGGGCTCAGAACGTCGGTTTGTGGTGTTGGAAGACCAGCGACTCTAACCGTTGCAGGACCGCCTCGGCGATGAACCCAGAAATCGGCGAACCCATCGGTGTGCACTTCACCTGGTCGTATATTGTCCCGTTGAAAGTGAAGTACGTCCTGAGACAGAACTTCAGGAGCTGAAGGATTTGGGCGTGTCCAAGACGGTTCTCCGTTTCATCGTATTTGCTTTGTAGTAGCAGCTCAATTGTCTCGATCGCCAGGTCCTGGGGAATAGAAGTAAAAATGGATGTAACATCAAAAGATACCATGACCTCATTTGGATGGAGGCTTACCCCTTTGAGTTTCTCCAGGAATTCTGCTGACGAAGAGACCGTGGTGTCTGACTCAGCGGTCAGGAACTTGAGACGCCGGAACGGCCACTTAGCCAGTCCGTACGTTGGAGTCCCTTTGAGCGATACGATGGGTCGGAGAGGAGCGCCGTCTTTGTGCACCTCAGGGAGGCCATAGAATCGGGCCAAAGCCGTATCTTGGGGTCTCGCCATGCGTCTGTCGGTCGGTGTTATTGCACCTGAGTTCTCCAAGGCCAACAACGCAGCATTGATTTCGCGTGTCAGCGCTTTTACAGGGTTCGTTGCACATGGGACATAGAACTGTCGGTCCTTTAGTAAGCCGACGACACTTGGTGTCGGATGAGGTTCTTGGTCTCCTCCGTTGCCTCCGTCTGACTAAGAATTGATTCCACTGCTGCAATCATGTTAACAGGTTTAGCGTCAGTCGTGTTGAATGAAGCTTCGTGCCTTAAAACCTGCATCTGATCCTTCGTCAGCTCCTTTGACGACAGGTTGTGCACCAGTTTGTCGTTTCTGTGCGACGTTGGATTGGGCAGCTTTCGGAATTTGTTCTCCAGTGCTGCGTCGCGTATCATTCTCTGTTCGCGGGCTTGTTCAGCTATCCTCTGCAGGAGCAGATTCGTACCGATTTCACCCATGAACTCACAGCATCTGGTCTTTTCTTGGTCAATCCTTTGATGGTGCTTGCGAAGTCTCGCGTGGCAATCTTGGAGGAGCACTCGGATCATCCTTCTGCCGTGCTGAAATACTGCTCGTCTCGCCAAATCTGTGTTAACCGGAGGCTTGTATGAAATACATTTCGGCAACACATTATTGTCGAGACAACTGTGCAGAAACCGGATCTGCGAATACGTGGAGGCCTCCCGAAGGGCAAAGGTTTCCCATCGCCGGGCCGATCGGAGCGCATCGCGCCCAAATACATTCTCAATAGAAGCGAAAAGCTAATAAAGCTCTTGTCCCGGCGATCGTGTCTTCTTCTTCAAGACTTCTTCCTGGGACTCGTCTTTTCGCTTCTATTCTGTCTAATGTTTCCTACTTTCCAGGTTTGTTAGCTGGTAGTAAGAAGCTAATCAGAAGCAAGCAAACACCCCGTAATTCGGGATCGTTGGTTTGCATTAAGCACTGTCCTTTTATTTGTCAACTTACATAACCGTGAGCAAACATGTGGAGCAAACAGGTGGACCGACTGCGCCAGGTGCGTCTGTGCGCATGTTTGTGTTTCTGGTCTCAGCTGCTGGTGGTCAGGGTTATGATTGGCTGAATGAAGGCAGAATAAGCCCGAAACAGTGCTGTATCAATCTACCCGCATTCTCTGTCGTCCCTCCTCGCTGCTATTATGACTTGGCCGACTTCGGCCTGGAACCTGGTTGCCTGTTCGTGACCTTTGCCACACATACGGAGCTTGTTTGCTTTGTGAAGCCAATAGATCAGTGTGCGCCCATTCCTGATTGATGAATACCCGATCTGCAGCGACAGAGAATGACAGGTGGCGAGGCATTGATGAACTTCGGTTCGATCAAGTGCTTATGACCCATCTGGTAGGCCTCAGTGGTGGACCGACTGCGCCAAGTGCGTCTGTGCGCATGTTTGTGTTTCTGGTCCCAGCTGCTGGTGGTCAGGGGGTTATGATTGGCTGAATGAAGGCGGAATAAGCCCGAAACAGTGCTGTATCAATCTACCCGCTTTCTCTGTCGTCCCTCCTCGTTGATATATATTATTACATATTATTATATTATTACTTATTATTATATTATTACTTATTATTATATTATTACTTATTATTATTACTTATTATTACTTATTACTTATTATTATACTCATACTTATTGTTCTCATACTCATGTAGATAATGACAGCACTCAAACCGTGATAAGAAACTAAATTCTAAAATTATCTAAATGTAATAATGAAATCAACTCCGTTAAGCACCGGAGAGAACGGGTGTTGTTTTTGAGCTGTCATTCATCATATGACATCTCGCTCTCAAATGGGTTTGTTCATGCGGCCTATGCAATGATTCAGTCAAAACAGCCTCGGATATGTTTGTTTTTGCCGACATCGGTTTTGCAAGACTCAAAATTCTCTAGGAACATCGTACCGGCACCTGGGAAGTTGTTATTACGCCCGCAACTGTCATTCGGCTCGTGCGGGCAGGAGCTGACTTTGACAAGGTAGGTAACCCTTTACCCGTCAACTATCAATTTGCAAAATAAGCAGCTCCTCCAATTAAATTATTTGATAGAATTGACCGCCTCTTAAACGCCGGACATGTCCTACTTCAAAGCGGTCTTCAACTTGCTGTCTGGATTGTCTAAATCTGCAAGTGACTCAAATCCCACTGAAATCAGACACGGACCAGACGCCTTGGCGCGATTCCAAGTCAATATCCCACTTGCCGTAATTTCAGTGTTTGTCTACAGAATGTGCTGCACGTGTTTGAGTTTTAATTGCAGGAGAGAATTTTGACAAAATCTAAAGATACGCATCCACAAACAACCCCAGCGTACACTTAGGCACCCTCCATCGATATAACGATTAAGTAACCAGTCAGTTTTCAAGTCTTTCTATCATTTGAAAAAAGGTCCAGGAAGTGGCAAAGAGGAAGAGAGATCGGCTCAAAACCAAAGGTTCGACACCTGTTTTAATTTTCTGTTTTATTTTGCGTCCTTAAGGCCAAATTGGCAACAATTAAAGATGTTTGTTCTGACGAGTGATTTCTTCTTCGCAGAGTTAAATATAGGCGCATATGTCGTTTTAAAAAGGCAGATATTATAGAAGATGTGTTAACTCATGAAATGTCAACCAAAATTTCGAAATGCGTTCTCGTTTCGAAAAGATAAATAAAGTAGTGTTGTTAAACTGATCTTGATGCAGCATAAATCTATAATGATCCAGTTACCACAGGGTGTCGGCTTTCGAAAGAACCTATTTACGGCTGCATGTAGGATCTATACCCTGCAAAAATGACTGCATAAGTAGCACGCAATTTTCCCATTGATTTTCGATGCCCTTGAAAATTCAATTATATTTCATGGAAAACATGCATAAACATATTCATTCTTTTACTTATTGAGTGGACAATCACGTCTTCTTCCAATTGCATACTTAAAAGAAGAGCATGATTCGGTTTTAAAAAATAGTTTCTGATAGTGAGATTTTTTAATACCATTAAATTGCCTTTCATGAAACGTCATGTATCTGCATTTAAGAATGTGGCTTGTAAAGTTAACAATATTGCTCAAATCCACTGCTTAATTTTATGAACCTCATACAGTTTCCTCTTAACACCATAGAGAAATGCATGGTTTTCCGTACACGGAAAATATACAGCTTGTAGTTTTGAAACCCTGAATGCAAGTGTAACGGCAGGTCGGGTTCAAAATTATTCGGGAATTAGAAAAGGTTTTTTAAAACCGAATTATACTCTTCTCTTGAGTATGAAATTGGAAGAAGAGGTGATTTTCTACCGACTAAGTAAACGAATGAATATTTTTATGCATGTTTTCCATGAAATAAAATTGAATTTTCAAGGGCACCGAAAATCAATGAGAAAATTGCATGCTACATAAGTAGTCATTTTTTGCAGAGTATAGATCTTGCATGCAGCGGAAAATAAGTTCTTTCGAAAGCCGACACCCTGTGGTAACTGGATCATTATAGATTTATGTAGCATCATAATTAGTTTTACAACAATACTTAATTTATCTTTTCGAACCGAGAACGCATTTTGAAATTGTGGTTGACATTTCATGAGTTAGCACATCTACTGTATTTGATGTATCCACCAATTCTTTAGGTCCGTTGAAGTTTGTAGGCAATCGTAAGGGGAAGAACCCCAAACATCTGCGATCAGCGACGAATACTGGTGGTAGTTGAAGTAATAAAATCTACGAAAAATACGTGAGACATTTGCGTCCGTACCGTAACCGTTCAAAACACTGACACACGGTAATGAAAGGTCGACGCACGAATTAAAGTAATAAACAATGAATATCTTTCAAAGAATAAGGTAATTTAAGCAAACAGTCCCCAGATAGTTTGCAGTAGCTTAACCATCTATGAAAATTTCAACCTATGAGAAAGAGGAAAAGATATGAGGGATCCAATCGTACTGAAATTCACTGTACGGTTTTACGATGTCAGTGAACGCTAGACCAACTAATTCTGACCAACTCAGTCCGCCAAATGAAATGCGTAAATATAAATAATAAGCAAACCCGTTATTTGTGGTGTAGGTTAAATGTACGGACTTCAAAAATGTAACCTGGCTGATCAATGGCTACTGAAACTGTAGGGTTTTTTATGGTATTGGAGTGGGTTTCTAATTAGGTATTTCTCCCAAAACTGCAGACTCCTGCTATATGCGAAACAAACAAAAGTGCAAGGGCAAGCCGAACGCAAACTCTGTGCGCAGAACAGTACTTTAAAACCTACGACCTACTTAGGCAAGTAAAGCAGGCAGTTTTTATACGCAAAAGATACTTGCGGTCCTTCTCCCTAACGTTACCAATGTTTGCTGTTCGAACCCACACGAACCAGGCAAAGCTGTATCAAACGCCATTTTGAAACGAATTAACCTCCCTCGCACCAACGCATTTGCTTCTTAGAACCCATTCCTTTCTATGTAAGTGCTCTGTACGTCTTCGATAATGAAATAAAGCTTCAGGCACTTTATATTCTGAGGAAAAAGACATGGTATTAGGGTATGGAAGTAAAATGCAACCGATGTGCTGATTTTGAAACGCTCATTGCTGTTCTAAAAGTGAAAACCTGCAGTGGTATGAACCTCTCGACGGTGTAGAGAAACGGTTAATAATAAAAAAATTAAACTAAGTTTGCGACGTTTAAGGATACCCACTATATAGCTTTCGCCCTAAAGCTGTTTAACAGTTACCTGTGCGTAGCCGAAACATATTTTCAACCGCAATAAAACATTCTGACTTAAGTTAACATAAACATTATAAGAAGACATATGTGCGCGCTGAAACAAGGACTTCAGTAACGTGAGGTTTGGATTCACAACTTGAGGCGAAGTCCAATGTAGCCACCTATATGAACTTACATCACAGTTTATTAAAAAGTTTTTTTCGCAAGCCGCTTTATCTACAGCTTCAAAATAAATAATATGTTTGTCTTTAACCTGCGTCGGAATAGATTCCAAACAATTATTTACATATAGTTCAAATAGAAGCAGAAAAATGCGCACTGATGAGTTGGCGTTTGCGATCGGTTGACGAAAAATACTTGCATCTCTGTGTCTCGGAGTTCACTGAAGAGCCCTACTAGGCAGCAGTAGAAGCAGTACCGACAAAGGTACGAAAGACGGATATGCTCCTTTCTGATTGTCAGCCACCGTCAAACAGTCAGCCTATCATAGATTTTCTGTGTTTGAGTTTCAAAGTCGAATACTTTGGTTATTTGGCGCTTTAAACCCGAATGCTCTACTGCCGGACTGAAAGGTCTGCTGTTACATCGGCCGCATTGAGCGAAGTTCGTTAGTCAATAAGATCGAAGCCAGTATGCTCCCAGAATCACCTTGCAGGTCTGCTTGGAGGCCTTATAACCAGTCGAATAGTGCATGGCTTGTAGAATTTCTGTTAGATGTAACGTCTAGTAATCTAGTCGTGCGGGCTTTGAAGTTTCAACCATTTCAACCTGGACCTGGGTAAAACCTGTTCACTTTGTCGGTGTCCGGTACTCATAAGTGTCTGTGCATCCAATGCATAACTGTTTGCTCTGTTACTCACAATTTAATATATTTTCATTTATTCGGCATATTTGGCTTTTATCTACCCTCTTTTTTCAATGAATAAATTCTAATATTTGGAAACGATTTCCTGTAGTAATTTTATAAGCAGTGTGCGTCAGATATTACCTGCTCCTATTATTACTTTTAGGGTGTTTTAAAATGGATACTATTGCAAATAACATTATCTCACATATTTCGAGCCGTCTGTCGGATTTCCCGTGGTTTTGACTGCAGTTTTATTCCTCGAAAGGATATTATTCCCTATGCAACCAGAAATGACGTCTTTTCGGATTTTGCCAATATAGCGAAGAGTATGCTATCTCGTTTTTTTTAAAAATGACCTGCATTCTAGGCACACAACGTTACAATCTTGCACGTAGATGTTCAAAAGCAAAACACTTTCAGGACGTATTTCAAGCGTGACATCCAACCAGCGATCGCGCTTCATTTGATAGTTTGCATGAGCTAACAACGACGTCCTTGCATTTGCAAACCAAGGGCTGAATTTAACTGAACTCACCTGACACCAAGAACGTGAGGCAAATCCCCAATAAAACACTAAGAAAAGGTCTAGATTTGTAAGTATTCACGTTTTACTCTCTCATCTGTCAGGGATGAACGTATGGTTCGAGAGTCTACTGGTGGATGCGCAAAGCGTTCTTCAGCGCAAGTTTGCGAAGGCGAACATCCACTTTTTGGTAGCCACTCCCTTTCTAAATCAAACAGAAGAGTTTTCGCGTAATTAATTACAAACGGATATAGTTAACTTTCAACCTGTCTCATCTTGTCTAATCTAGCTCTGCTGCCTGGTTGAGAATGTGTACAAGCTATGAATCAATATTAATGGCAGAAAATGCGTCGCATTATACGTTTTAGATGTTTCGCCGATGAGTGATTTCCACTTTCGATTGATTTGCTAGGCATGTTTCTGCTATAACACTCATTCCACAGAAGGACCATTTATCGAATTGTTTGAAAAATATCTTAAATTTATTAATTCTCAGTAGTACTGAAAATCAAGCTTAGTTAGTTAACCATCTTTAACAAAATATCCCCATATATCATACGATATCGCTTTCGCTATTCAGCAGTTTTTCCGTCCTTTTAAGTGCCAGGGATATGTCACATAACATTTTATATTTGTTGGCGCTAATATCAAATTGCGCAGCGACCGCAATAACGATTTTTGCCTGTATCAACTAGAAATTGCCTCACAAATGACTGTCATTTCTGTCTGGGTTTTGTCGACGTGCTGTAATGGAAGTTGCACATGTCCGGTGTTTCCGGTTTATACCCTAACCCAACAAGATGAAGGTTTGGTTGATACGGCTGAGAATTCAAAACGTCAGACTATTACATTTGCTTTCGGCCGTCGCATCTCTTTCTTTTGTTGCTTCTCGATGTGCCCCTGGCAGCCTACTTGATCATATACTCTTTGAACCCGATCTCAGTCACCCTGTTACCATACTACACTTCTCTCAGGAGAAACCTAATTCACGACTACAATTTTCAAGCATATGGTTTAGACGGTTTCGGTTTACATGCTATGTCGAAAATTGTCATGAACGATAATTTGTTAGACATGCAGACGAGCGTAACTATGACTGAAAAAATGATGTGTAAATGCAATGCACGGTCTCTTCGTCAGCACAATTCCTGGAGAAACTCAAAGGGGTAAGCATCCATCCAAATGAGGTCATGGTATCTTTTGATGTTACATCCATTTTTACTTCTATTCCCCAGGACCTGGCGATCGAGACAATTGAACTGCTACTACAAAGCAAATACGATGAAACGGAGAACCGTCTTGGACACGCCCAAATCCTTCAGCTCCTGAAGCTCTGTCTCAGGACGTACTTCACGTTCGACGGGACAATCTACGAACAGGTGAAGGGCACAACAATGGGTTCGCCGATTTCGGGATTCATCGCCGAGGCGGTCCTGCAACGGTTAGAGTCGCTGGTCTTCCAACACCACAGACCGAAATTCTGGGCCCCGTATGTGGATGATACCTTCGTCGTCATCGAACGGGATCAGGTGTTGACATTCCAAGAACATCTCAACGCCGTCTTCCCGGACATACAATTTACGATGGAGGAGGAAGAGAACAACCAGCTGGCCTTCCTGGATGTCCTCGTATGCCGCAAGGATTGTGGTGGACTAAAGACCAATGTGTTCAGGAAAGCGACAAATACGAGGCAAGTACTGAACCACCCGATCAGTCACAAACGCAGTGGTGTAAGGACGCTCTTTCGGCGTGTCGAAACGCACTGCAGTGAGCCGGAAGACAAAATTGCTGAACTACAATACCTCCGACGGGTATTCAAAGCCAATGGCTACCCGCGCAACTTCGTCAACCGGTGCATACGCAAAAGGGACCAAAGGCCTAACCGCACGGACACCAAGTCTTGGCGGGCACTTCCGTATGTCAAGAACGTTTCGGAAGCTGTCGGCCGCCTTCTCGCACCACTTGGGGTTGGAGTGGCACACAGACCGGAGGCAACCATCAGGCGTCTGATCACGAAACCGAAAGACCCACTGCCACGGCTAGAAACGTCTGGAGTCGTTTATCGGATCTGGTGCAGTTGCGGACAAAGCAACTACGTCGGAGAAACCGGAAGACAGCTCCGAACGCGAATGGCCGAACACGCGGCAGCGGTGCGCAGAAATGACGCCAGCTCTCAAGTTGCGGCTCATTCGACGAGATCCGGCCACACATTTAAATTCGATGAGGCCGAAATTCTCGCAAGAGGTGACAACCGAATGAGCCGGGAGCTACTGGAATCATGGTTTCTGGCCCCCAGTCCATCAACAAGTACAACGATCTTCCCATTCAATACAGCGTGCTGAGACTTCGTCTAGGCGGAGTAATTGGCCACGCGGGGAGCGCACTGGTGAACACTCTTCCCAACACCCGGGTCAACGCGTCAGATGGTCGAGCAATCATCACGCCATCATCCAACGCACGTGATGAAATTGCAGCAATTATCAACTCGAATGTCGGCCATCAAGCAATGATCACACCAAGCGTGGCAACCACGGATGAAGGGGGGAGCCGTGAACGTTCATAGGTATGCGGTAGCATGGCTACTGCATCCTATAAATACCGCAGCCCCTTGTGCAACAACCACCCGTTTCTGCTCTTTTGCCTCTGATGATGGATTCGAGTAGGAATCCGAAGCGTCAGGCTAATAAATCTCTTGTCCCGGCGATCGTGTCTCCTTCTTCAACTCCTTAAAATATTAATCATCGACAACTAGGCCTTCAATCCTGCTTTACACTCTCGCCATAACTGCCAACTGCGTCCAAAATCAGTACGCCTGTTGGTTGCTTAGATAATCAAATTCTCTTGTGGTGTGCTACATACTAAATTAAATTTATATTTAACGTATCATACAGAAGAGGTACCAGCTCATAAAATGTTAACCGAAATTACGAAATTCGTTTCTTGAGCATGGTTATTATATCAATTACCGTGAAGCATAATCCCACGCTAATTCAGTTATCTCAGAATGCCGGCTTTGAAACACCTGCTATACGTCCGCCTGCAAAAACTACATTCCGTAAAACATGATTTCATAAGTAGCAGACATTTTTGATTTTTGATGCCCTTATAAGTCCAAACATATTTTATAGGAAACATGCAACAAATATTCAATCATCACTCTCTTGATGTAAAACTACGCTTTTTACGGTTATTAACCTAAAATCCCTACTTATGTAGTCTTTTTGAACTGAAAACGCATTACAGAATTTCGGTTAACATCATATGGGTGAGGACCTTAGAGACATTTAATTCTGCTCTCTCGACTTTTTAAAATTCGGGTTTGAGCAATCATCCATCGGTCTTCATAAATGAAGGATTATTAAGCCATAATTGATCGCTTACCCCCAACATACGAATATCACATAGCTATTATGTCAAATTGTGGGGATTTCAGATATTTCTCTACTGTCAAAATTTGCACGAAATTTTGAATTTTTTTGCTGCAGAGTAAACCAAGTGGCTACCTTCATTTACAAAAAACAAAATCTTGTTATTTACACATCCCTAATGTTCACGAGACTGCTCTCGTGTAAGCGATTGCCTATCGTTTTCCGTTATATGTCATTCACGCCTGGTTCTGAATAGTCTAGACTTTCGTTGGGAGAATAATTTGTCCGTCATTCAGATAATGGGATATGTAGCTGGCATTTTGCGTAAAAAACTGAACCGGTGTCCAATCATACTTTTCCCGATAGTGCCTTGAAATATGTTCATCAATAATGCTATATAGGCCGCTAACTTACTTTTTTATTACTTTTGCTCTTTTCGGTGTGATTTTAATTTGATTATGAGAGTCTTCATTTTTGTTTGTGTTGTTTTAATTAGTGTCACGCGTGCATTTTCTAATTAGAATTACAGTATATCTTTTCAGTATGGCAGCAACGAGACGCTTTACCTGAACTCGCCGGTTGGAGGCAATAAGTAGTTTGCATTCCTAAATAAAGATGGTTATTTTGATATTGTATGACACCTTTCTCAGGGTGACCAACAGCTTTTTTAACTGAGCTGACCCGTCTAAACAAAAGTAAGCGCACTTTATGAAACGAACAACGTGAACGACATTCCTTTACTCTGTCGAACCTTCAAGTGATATATCAACACGTTGACTACCTTACCTTCTAATTAGTCCAATGTCCTCAACTTGGTGTATGAAGTTTGCAGCAGCTAGTTTGTCAGATCGAACCTCACAACAGTTTCATTGCATAACGTTCCTTTATTTGCGGAATGTCGTTCAGCATATAAAGTATCTCAGCCAAGTGCCCTAGTACAAAGCTTTGAAGAGCCGACGTTATCACTAAATCTCTTTTTTCGACAAATTCCATTTCGTACCGAATTTTATCCGCTAACATTTGTAGGTTACCAATTTAAATTTCTTAACCGATTAAAGGTTTCGGGGTTTATGGATGATTGTCAATCACTCGCAAACCGGCACCACAGAGTGGACCCAAAATCCAAATTAATTAGTTAAACCTTTAAGGAAATGAAAAATATGAGAGGAATGGTAAAGGTCATGCGAGGCTTTTCGGCAATTTAAAATTTATTAAAAATGTTGCAAATTCCGAAAAACCCAAAAACAATTTTAATTTTGACAACTTCGGTTTCCTACAAACAGAAAGCTTTTCCATATAAAACACCAAGTAAATATAGCAGCACAAATGGAATAATTCCTGAAAACTATTTTTAACTACAGTTTACATTTAACTATCCTTTGCGAATTAGTGCAACTTCAGGTACGGCGGTTCGTCAACATTGTGGATTTAGATTCCAAAACGGCTTTCCGACGATTCCTTGTATCCTTAGCCCATTGAATCACATGAGATGCAGATAAATAAGACAAAAAGGATTTTGGTTGAATGTGCGGATAGAGATGTCATAAGCGCAAACGTAAACGCAAACATTCCCTTTTGTGTACAAAATAAAAACATTTCTCCCGTGAAATTAATTTGCATTTTGCCATGGTTCTGGACTGCGCTTAGTTCCCCATCAGCCTTGACGTATCCCTGAATGCTTCATTATTTTTCAGTGTTTTCGATCGACTGCTCACAAAGACAGGTTCTATTTCATGTATTTGCTAAAATTTCAAATATAAGATACTGAAGTGATGAGCGTTTGTGAGTCTTTTTGCATGTAAAGTTTTCATCAGGTCACATTTGCAAACTCAACCTCACAGTTACTCTCATAATTGAATAAATTAAAACTCTCCAAAAACTTTCCAATGAAATATAATCTGGATCACTTAGACAACCTTTTCTAAT